AAAGTTACCCCAATGGCTCCAATAGATTTAGTAGATTCCCCCCCGAAGCCAGTAGCCCCTAAATGTCCACCTTACATCCCACTTGCTTTGGGTTATTACTGGTTATGTGGTAGGTGGGCCACTAAAATTATACCCTGTACTTATATGGAACCCTGTTTCTTGGGGACCATTACATCCTCTATGTATATCATAAGTAATTTACCAGAAGAAAGAGTTAAAAGATATATGGAAATTCCTGATTTAAATAATATGAACGTTCAAACAACTTACAAACAGCCATTGGTCGTGGTCTATTTTGGTTTGTGGGGATCCCTAACATACAGTTGCAAGAAAAAGTATGTGAACCCTTTGGAATGATATAGATTTCTGCACAAATCGGTCATAAAATGTGATCCTATCATCATCTAAGTCACAACAATAGACAATCACAGTCTGCTTAAACTAATAACACACAAAGAATGAAATGTTGCCATGTTTTTATTGAACACACCATGTAAACATTCACAGTGCAGGTGGACAAAGTATGTGAACCCCTAGACTAATGACATCTCCAAGAGCTAATTGGAGTGAGATGTCAGCCAACTGGAGTCCAATCAATGAGATGAGATTGGAGGTGTTGGTTACAGCTGCCCTGCCCTATAAAAAACACACACCAGTTCTGGGTTTGCTTTTCACAAGAAGCATTGCCTGATGTGAATGATGCCTCGCACAAAAGAGCTCTCAGAAGACCTACGATTAAGAATTGTTGACTTGCATAAAGCTGGAAAGGGTTATAAAAGTATCTCCAAAAGCCTTGCTGTTCATCAGTCCACGGTAAGACAAATTGTCTATAAATGGAGAAAGTTCAGCACTGCTGCTACTCTCCCTAGGAGTGGCCGTCCTGTAAAGATGACTGCAAGAGCACAGCGCAGACTGCTCAATGAGGTGAAGAAGAATCCTAGAGTGTCAGCTAAAGACTTACAAAAGTCACTGGCAAATGCTAATATCCCTGTTAGCGAATCTACAATACGTAAAACACTAAACAAGAATGGATTTCATGGGAGGATACCACAGAAGAAGCCACTGCTGTCCAAACAAAACATTGCTGCACGTTTACAGTTTGCACAAGAGCACCTGGATGTTCCAGAGCAGTACTGGCAAAATATTCTGTGGACAGATGAAACCAAAGTTGAGTTGTTTGGAAGAAACACACAACACAATGTGTGGTGAAAAAAAGGCACAGCACACTAACATCAAAACCTCATCCCAACTGTGAAGTATGGTGGTGGGGGCATCATGGTTTGGGGCTGCTTTGCTGCGTCAGGGCCTGGACGGATTGCTATCATCAAAGGAAAAATGAATTCCCAAGTTTATCAAGACATTTTGCAGGAGAACTTAAGGCCATCTGTCTACCAGCTGAAGCTCAACAGAAGATGGGTGTTGCAACAGGACAATGACCCAAAGCATAGAAGTAAATCAACAACAGAATGGCTTAAACAGAAGAAAATACACCTTCTAAAGTGGCCCAGTCAGAGTCCTGACCTCAACCCGATTGAGCTACTGTGGCATGACCTCAAGAAAGCGATTCACACCAGACATCCCAAGAATATTGCTGAACTGAAACAGTTCTGTAAAGAGGAAATGGTCAAGAATTACTCCTGACCATTGTGCACGTCTGATCTGCAACTACAGGAAACGTTTGGTTGAAGTTATTGCTGCCAAAGGAAGTTTAACCAGTTATTAAATCCAAGAGTTTGCATACTTTTTCCACCTGCATTGTGAATGTTTACATGGTGTGTTCAATAAAAACAAGGCAACATTTCATTCTTTGTGTGTTATTAGATTTAGCAGACTGTGATTGTCTATTGTTGTGACTTAGATGATGATCAGATCACATTTTATGACCAATTTGTGCAGAAATCCATATCATTCCAAAGGGTTCACATACTTTTTCTTGCAACTGTATGTAAAAAAAAATAAAAAAATCATTTAGCTGATTATCTAGATGTAGCCTTTAATGTCACAGGTGATGCAATGCAAAGATTAGCAGAACAGGAACAAATTAGAATCATTGCCCTTCAGAACCGTATGGCCCTTGACTACTGTGCAAGGAGGGGTTTGCCAGGTAGTTGGAGACAAATGTTGTACTTACATAACTGATGAGAGTGGGGCCATACACCATGATTTGAAAGTTCTTAGTGAAGTCCAGACTAGAATGAGACAACAAGACCCTGGGTTACTTGGGAACGTTGATTGGACATTCGGATTGGGTGGCTGGTTAGGGGAATTGGGCAATATTAATGGGTCTGATAGTTGCTGTATTTTTAATAATATGCTTGTACCTTATGTTTGCTTTACTCAAATGCATCATGCAAATCACTACTAAGATCTCTAACATTAACACCTCCAAGAAGTGTAAAAATAACGCTACCCCTCATAGGGAATACCTAGAGCTTAACCAAAGGGTCCCTGAAAGGCACCCAAGAGTGGAAATAATCAGTTAGTAGTTCCTAAATGGAGGGTACATTTAATCATACTAAAAAAAAAAAAATCCTTCGGCATTAATATTCAGTTAAGCAATATAGTTAAGTAATATGTAGCTAAGTAATATAACCAATAAGTTGCTACATATTTGGTAATTGTATTTTCCTCTGTGTTCGTTGTATTTGTAACTAATAGTAGTTCAGCATTAACTGCAACCTTTAGACTTGTATTACCCTTTGACTCTGGTACCCTGGCGTCCAGAGCTCCCTGTTTTGGCCCTGCCCTTTTTCAAGGTATGTACATTAAGGTAGCTGGAGTTTTGGGCACAGGTCACCCACTTAAGGCGTCAGACCACAACATCATTAAGCTATATCCTAACAAGCACTGGGAATGACGTGTCTGTACGGTCAGGTTTTCTCCAATGTGAGTTTTTCCTGGCCCAGATCACCAAGCAGACACGGTAATCAGATACCCTGATTGACAGAGGAGGGATAGATATTATTCCCAATGGGTTTTATGTGTTCACAATTTGTTACATGGGTATTGTGAACAACAGGACGGGTTGATGGGAAATGAATTGTTTTACCTATGCAATGCTTAGTGAATATTCCCCTAGACATACAGAGCTATAAATAAATATATACATGAACCTATGGATGTATTGCATAATGAGATGTGGACTTAATAACATATATTATCCTGTATCTACAAATATATGGACAGGCCCTCTTTGATTGTTTTGTGGGTGGAAGAGGGCAAAGGGAATAGAGATGAAGAATTAAAGTCCCACAGGTGTAATTAGTACACCCGGATACACCTTGCCTCATATTCTCTCCTGCAGTCCCAGAAAAGGCGACTTGTCATAGATACATGTAAATAAAGGGTTAAATGACCACTATAGTGCCAGGAAAACATACTCGTTTTCCTGGCACTATAGTGCCCTGAGGGTGCCCCCACCCTCAGGGTCCCCCTCCCGCCCGGCTCTGGAAGTGGGAAAGGGGTTAAAACTTACCTTTTTCCAGCGCCTGGCGGAGAGCTCTCCTCCTTCTCTCCTCCTCCGTTCCGCCCCGTCGGCTGAATGCGCACGCGCGGCAAGAGCTGCGCGCTATTCAGCCGGTCACATAGGAAAGCATTCATAATGCTTTCCTATGGACGCTGGCGTGCTCTCACTGTGAAAATCACAGTGAGAAGCACGCAAGCGCCTCTAGTGGCTGTCAATGAGACAGCCACTAGAGGAAATAGGGGAAGGCTTAACCCATTAAAGGACCACTATAGCGCCAGGAAAACATACTCGTTTTCCTGGCACTATAGTGCCCTGAGGGTGCCCCCACCCTCAGGGACCCCCTCCCGCCCGGCTCTGGAAGGGGAAAAGGGGTAAAAACTTACCTTTTTCCAGCGCTGGGCGGGGAGCACTCCTCCTCCGATCCTCCTCCTGGGCTGCATGCGCGCGCGGCAAGAGCTGCGCGCGCATTCAGCCCGTCACAGGAAAGCATTTACAATGCTTTCTATGGACGCGCGTGCTCTCACTGTGAAAATCACAGTGAGAAGCACGCAATCTAGAGGGAATAGGGGGAAGGCTTAACCCATTAATAAACATAGCAGTTTCTCTGAAACTGCTATGTTTATTAAAAAATGAGTTAACCCTAGCTGGACCAGGCACCCAGACCACTTCATTAAGCTGAAGTGGTCTGGGTGCCTAGAGTGGTCCTTTAATAAACATAGCAGTTTCTCTGAAACTGCTATGTTTATTAAAAAATGGGTTAACCCTAGCTGGACCTGGCACCCAGACCACTTCATTAAGCTGAAGTGGTCTCGGTGCCTAGAGTGGTCCTTTAAGAAAGGCCTTTGTCTTAGTTAAGTCTTTCCACATCTGTAGGGGTTGAAAGCAAGAATTTTCTCTCCTGGCTGCAATCTGTTGCAAGCACAAACTCCCTTTTTTTCCCCAGGTCAAGATAACCATTGCATATTTCAGATAAGACATGCTATACATGCGCAGTAGACTAACTGCAATACGTAATGTTATATGAATAATTCACTGAATCTCTATGATTGGTTGATTTTGTCTTTTGTTGTATACACCTCTAAGAAAATTGTGTTTCATATATACGATGTAAACGCATTAAAATTTTAAACACTTTTTTAAACTCCATAACTGACTGGCGTGCATTGAGTGTTCACTGCAAGCAGAATTTTAAGCAGAGATAAGGGGAAGCAGAAACGTCTTTGATTAAGACCATGGCAGCGTAAGGGTTCCAGACCCTGTGTAGAATTTTGCAGCCTAACATATCCTAAAACCAAAACATATGCTGTGGGTAGGATATAGATGTGATGCTTCATGTGTCAGAATCTCTCTCTTTGATTTCAGATCGGCCATGTAAATTAAGATAATAAATACGCTTCACCATACAGAAGTTAGTCTGAAAAAATACCAGGGGCACGTGTTCAGGAAAAAAACTAAGATTTAAAAAAAAAAAAAGGAAAGAGGGGCAGGCTGACTAAATTGCACAAAGTGGATAGTATATATAAAAAGAAAATAGCTTTATTAAATCTAATTGAAATAATATCCATAAAAACATCAATACGAATACAACATCAATTTACTCTCTGTATGAAAAAGAGTTGCAACGTGAAATAGCAAAGCAGGACTAAAAGTAACAAAGTGTCCAATGTAGTCTTTAGTGTATCCAGAAAGTCTTAATCAAATTATCCAAATGACCAATTTGTCCTAGTCTTTTACTGCTAGATCGGCTCCTGCTTCAAATATTGGTAAATGCTGGTATAGATAAACAGAGTTTTGGCTTGCTGTAGGATAGATCTACCAGGGGTTAACACAGATAGCCATTCCTATTACCTTTAGTTGACTTCTTTTGCCCCACCACGCATGATAGCCACATATGATGCTGGGAAGGAGAAAGTTAGGAATGGCATACAAAAGTTTTGGCCCCTACTACTGGAAGACATTCATCTTAAACGGATCCTTGGTCCAAAAGTAGAGATTACTGCACAGAGGGGAAAAAATCTCAGGGACCTCCTAGTCCCAAGCCACTTGCAAGTCCAACACCCAACTAGACATACTTGGCTGAATATCCAAGTCATAGGAACCTACCAATGTGGGCACTGTGTCGCATGTAAATATATAAAACAAGACTCTAAAGCAGTCATGGATAGCGACGGTAAACAGTGCTTCAACATCAAGTCATTCTTTAACTGTAAAACGGCCGGAATTGTCTACTTACTTACATGTAACTGTAAGTTACAATATGTAGGCAAAACCTTCAGAGCCTTTAAGGAACGTATTAAGGAACATGTTAGGTCACCCAAACTGACCACTGACACTCCCATTGGCCGCCATCTAAAAGAGCACCATTCAGGTAACTCACAAGGACTTTGATTTTGTGGGCTTGAACTCATAAGGATAGGCAAACTAAGGGGAAACTACGATAGATTCCTGAGACAAAGGAAAAGTCTCTGGATCTATCAACTCAAAACCCTTCAACCTAAAGGTCTAAATGAAGGTTTTTCATTTGCACCATTCATCTAATTGATTCTTTCATCCCTCGAGCCACCTTTTGCCCACTCTAAAGGTGCTCCATCATTATCTGCATTTGTCTTACTATGTCCAATTTTCTGAATAGGGTTATCCACATTGACCTATTTCCGTATCTCCATCACATGAGCACGGGACTACATATCATAATCTCTGGACTGATCCATATGTCTTTGGGTCATTCCTACACTACACTAACCACTAACCTCTCTCTACACTCTCTTATAACTGTCATTTACATATCTATGTTTATAGTAACTTTAAACACATTCACTATTGAACTAACTTTCCAGTTAAACTCCTTAAATTAAATTGATTCTCTCTGAGGACAAGTTAAAGGGACACTACAGTCACCTGAACAACTTTAGCTTAATGAAGCAGTTTTGGTGTATAGAACATGCCCCTGCAGCCTCACTGCTCAATCCTCTGCCATTTAGGAGTTAAATCCCTTTGTTTATGAACCCTAGTCACACCTCCCTGCATGTGACTTGCACAGCCTTCCATAAACACTTCCTGTAAAGAGAGCCCTATTTAGGCTTTCTTTATTGCAAGTTCTGTTTAATTAAGATTTTCTTATCCCCTGCTATATTAATAGCTTGCTAGACCCTGCAAGAGCCTCCTGTATGTGATTAAAGTTCAATTTAGAGATTGAGATACAATTATTTAAGGTAAATTACATCTGTTTGAAAGTGAAACCAGTTTTTATTTCATGCAGGCTCTGTCAATCATAGCCAGGGGAGGTGTGGCTAGGGCTGCATAAACAGAAACAAAGTGATTTAACTCCTAAATGACAGTCAATTGAGCAGTGAAATTGCAGGGGAATGATAGTAATTTAGGTGACTATAGTGTTCATTTAAGGTCCATACTATTCTTATTACCATCGATGAAAGTTATTTTTCGTAACAATTTTGAGAACACATGTCCTTTAATTCTCCTTTCATTATCCTATAGTTTCACACTATATTTATACCCCTTCTAATAACCTTTGAAGGGTATTCTCTTGCCATTATGTTTGGCAAACTGTGAAGGTTTACTTAGTGCCTACTTAGTATTCAACTCCTACTAAAGTCTAAAGGTGACTTAGGAGTTAACACACTTTTCTACCACGTGCTCCGTTCCATTAGTGAACACGCCCCCTCATCAATTTGATTCACGGACGCCACATGACATCACGCCTGATGGGCGTACCCCATTGTGGGTTTAAAAAGAGGCGCGTGTAAGCCCACAGTCAGCTCTTGACAAAGGCAATAAGGTTCGCCGAAACGCACCTTGAGCCAGTTCTTCCCGTACTGCGGATTATTATTTTAAATTTAGACCATTAGAGTCTCTCCTCTCTCTCTATTTGATAGGATCTCCTTAGGGATTTAGACAGGGTTAGCCTTCTCTCTGCTACCTTCTTTTAGGGACACCCTTCCCCCTAATTCCTTATAGTATTAGTCATACCTGTCTCCGGCCACATATTGGCATCTATATGGTGGGATTTGGGTGCTCTAGGGTTTAGCTGTACATACTGCCTCATAATCCAAGACGTTCAGATATACGTCTCGATTTTAAGCAGGATTCGTTGGCTGCAAAGCCAGTGCTAGTCTTTACTCTTCTGTTAGGGACATCCCTCCCCCCCCACAGTATTACAGGGAGCTATTTATGATGGTTTTAAGCCACTTTCCACTTAGTTATACCTGTCTCTAGATGTACATTGGCTTCTGTATGGTGGGATTTGTTTTTTTTTGGCTGTATGTACCGCTTTACTATCCGAGACACTTAGATATATGTCTTGGTCCTAAGTAGGATTCGTTGGCTACAAAGTCCATATACTTTTAGCAGCTTTCGCCTACTAAATTATAATTTTGCAACTTGTCCGCTTGAGGTGTACCTGCCTCTAGACGAATACCAGCTATTTAATGGTGGAATTGGGGTGATCTAATCTATGGTTGTACTTACTTCTATTCCAAGATCCTCAGACATTATCTCGGTCCCAAGTAGAGACTTTGGGGCTACTAAGTTACTACACACTCAGGCAATCACCTCGGCTACCAACTGGGTCACTATCCACTCATAGTTGCAGCGGTTCATTTACTGACCCTCTACCCTCTTTCAGACTGGTGTATCTACTTACTATTTTACCGGGTATTATAATTGTGGCTTACAGGTCTTCTCTCTAATATTCTTTATAGAATTCAGGGACTATTACCACATACTGCCACAAATACTCATTCACCTAACCCTGTCTCTGCATACCCTTGAGGGTTAATAACGGCTAAATCTCCTCACTCTAATGTAGCCAATTTATATACCACTCTGTTTAAAATCCCACCAATGATTTATTTAGACTTTACTTTTTTGTAACACTTTGCAACATACTATGTAGAGCTAGACACTGGATATATCGGATCTATAACAATGTAAATACGTTTAGTCTCTTTTTAAGTCTTGTTATTTATTATCTATTTAGTTAGTACACATTTTTTTCACTTTTATTTTTGTTCCTTATGAGGGACCATTAAAGTTTAAATAGTTCTCTCTTTTTTTGCTCTATAATTAGGCACTTGTCCAGTTACTCTAAGAGCTACCCTCCCTTCAAGGATACTAGGTCTATTAGGGGGTGGGTCTAACCCACCACCTTCTAGTCCCTTTTTTCCCTCACATTTAAAAACATATTTACCAAGTGAAATAATCTCTCTAGACAACTGTGTTAATTTTCTGCATAGCAGCATGTAATTGATATGGCCTATATTATATTATATATTACTATAATTTCAAACATTTCAGTATTATTGAATAATGGAAGATTAGTGCAAAAGTGATCTGGACCAAAAAGGTTTCTAAACTACCCAATGAGCTTTGTGTGAAGAGCTGCCAACAATTAAAAACGCGTAATGTTGTCACAATGACAGGAAGGGAGGGGGGGAGGAGGGGGCATACAACAGTTTTGGTTGAAATTTTGCAACCCACTGAAAACAGAAACTTCTACAAAGCATACAAATGTAACTTTTGTTTTGCATGTAGCACCATACAATATCTTTCACAAAATAAATTGGCAATAGTCTGATATTCCACAAGTACATACATTCACAGAAAAGGTGCCTTAAAAAAATGGGTGTAGTAGTGGACTCATTTTACGAAATACTGTTTACAGTTTTTGAACTTGGCAATGAAGTCTACAAGGAACACAAGAGCAAACAACGACTGAAAATTTCTGTGCTGGTTTTCTCAGTAAACCCACCTTCAGTTCAAACCTCTTTGGCTCTTTGCTTTTTAAAACAGTTAATTATAATTACATTTTACATTTTCGAAGAAAAATACACGATTTTATATCTTGAGATTCTCAAAACGAATTGGAAACACACCCAAAACCTGTCATTGTAATTATTTGCCACAATAATCTTTGTGCTGAAAGTTCCAAAGGGAGTAACCAATTGTACCAGTAGGTTCAGACATTTTAAATATTGTTTAAATACATCATATGTGAAAAATTGAATAATAAAAACTAAACTCCGTGTTACAGGGGCCTGTTTATCTCAGGGGAAGTGTTCTGAGATTCATATGAGGCAAAATCATTGGTTGAATGATCAGCAGTGGTAGTCATGGATAGGTAGGCCATAGACACAGGAGACACAGATGAGTCAGTCTGAATAACTGGTTCAGTAGCAGCAACAGGGATTGACTGCATCATGGAGTGGTTGCTAGGCAATGGCTGCTGCAGAATCTGTCCAGGATATTTTGCAGGATTCCTCCTGTTCTTGCAGAATCTTGGAGACGCATGTTCACGGTTGATCTGCACACGCATGTCTGCTTTATGCACAGTACGAATGTGTTTCTTCATGTTACTGGGGTGTCTGCAGCCTTTACCACAGATCTATGGGAAAAATTAAATAAAACAAATCAATAAAAAGGTTATAAATTATACAAGTTAAAATGCAATTGAATTGGCAATAACCATTTTAAATGTTTCAAGTTCATGTTTTTAGAAAATTGTTGGTACTCACTTTACACCGATATGGTAGTTCCCCAGTATGGGTCCATGTGTGCCTCTTTAATTCAGAGATACGGTGAAATGACTGTACACAAAAGTCACACTTAAATTTCTTTACTCCGCTATTTGAAAGGAAAAAAAAAAAAGTCAAAATATTAATATGTATGAATTCTTTGTGTGCAGATAGACAGTAAATAACTAGTTATAAAGAGACAAACCAGACTGAAATTGATTCCATTTCTAATGGACCGTAATGACAAGCAGTTTAACCCCTTAAGGACTGAGCCAAATGTACAGGTTGTGAACAAAACAAAATGTAAACAAAACCTAGCATTTGCGCTACATGCCTGTCCAACCGTAATTCACCTCTTTCATAGTAAATGCACCCACCCTTATTATATATCATTTTATTCAGGGGAAACAGGGCTTTCATTTAATATCAAATATTTAGCTATGAGACATAATTTAATATGAAAAAAATGGGAGAAAAGATTTTTTTTGAGTTTTTTAGTTCTACATGACATTTTAACTGTCAATGTCATAATACTGTTTGCTTTTACTGCAATAAAATACACATATTTGTATTCAGCAAAGTCTCACATGTAAAACAGTACCCCCTATGTACAGGTTTTATGGCGTTTTGGGAATTTACAGGGTCAAATATAGCACGTTACATTTTAAATTGAAATTCACCAGATAGGTTATGTTGCCTTTAAGACTGTATAGTAGCCCGGGAATGAAATTTACACCCATAATGGCATACCATTTGCAATAGTAAACAACCCAATGTATTGCAAATGGGGTATGTCCATTTTTTTTTAGTAGCCATTTGGTCACAAACACTGGCCAAAGTTAGTGTTAGTATTTGTTTGTGTGTGAAAAATGCAAAATACGCCAATTTTGGCCAGTGTTTGTGACTAAGTGGCTACTAAAAAAGACTGGCCATACCCAGTTTGCAATACCTTGGGTTGTCTACTATTGCAAATGGTATGCCATCATAGGGGTAATTTTCATTCTTGGGCTACCTGGCGAATTTTAATGTGAAAAAAATTAAACACAAGCCTTATATTTGATGCTGTAACTTTTGAAAACACCATAAAACCTGTACATGAGGGGTACTGTTGTACTCGGGAGATTTCGCTGAACACAAATATTTGTGTTTCAAAACAGTAAAAAGTATCGCAGCAATAATATCGTCTGTGTATGTGCTGTTTGTGCGTGAAAAATGCAAAAAAGTCACTTTTTCTGGCGATATCATCGTTGTAATACATTTTACTGTTTTGAAACACTAATATTTGTGTTCAGCAAAGTCTCCCGAATAGAACAGTACCCCCCATGTACAGGTTTTATGGTGTCTTGGAAAGTTACAGGGTTAAATATAGTGCTAGCAAATAAAATTCCCTTCACTTTCGGCATGGGTTGTCAGGCAGGTCCCGCTAATTGTAATTAATTAAGATACCTAATTATGTAAAAATATTACATAAATATATATTATATATATATTGATATACGTATATATTTATGTATATAGATATATATATTATTTCGTTCTGTGTATTTTGATATAAATATATATATATTAATATCACAATACAGTTAGAACGAAATAACACACATCTATTTTTTTATTATTTATTTTTCATTATTTTTTTAATTTTATTTTTTAACGTATTTACATTTTTTTTTTATATTGTATATAAATATATAACAATAATTATATATATATTAATAGTAAAATACACCTAGACAGTGCATGTGTGTGTATGTAATATATGATCTAAGTATATTATAATTTATTTATTTTTTTACACTTATTAACTTTTAATTTTATTTGAATTCGGCCAGCAGGGGGGCTAACTGTCATTACAGTCAGTTCCCCTGCTGGCAATGCAACAGCCAGCTAACCCGGCCATGTGGGGGGGCTACAGGAGGTCGGATGTGCCGCGGGGGGCTCCCTGGGGGTCCCCCCAACCGTGCTCGCCGGCGTCGGATCGCCGGCGACCAGGTAAGTAAAGAAATAAACCGGAGGGTGTACTATTACGCCCGGCGGCGTTTAGAGCCGCCTAAAATATGGCGTAATAGTACGCCCTTCAGTCTTAAGGGGTTAATAAAAAGACATAAATAACAATATAGGCACCCAGATCACTGCAGCTCATTGGATACAGGGTGCATGTACAACTTATTAGAGATTGTTTCATGGAGAGGGGTAGAAACAAAGCTAAAAATCTCATTGAAGTGGTCTGGGTGCCATGTCCCTCTCAATTTAACCTTGCAGCTGAAAACATGGCAATTCTTCATGGTTTAAATGACTCTAATGGCTGTTATAATGACAGTCAATAGATGCTCTTCTGCAGAAATAGCCGAATGAAACTATTTCAATCAGATAGTCTCATAGGAAAGCATTGGGAGGCTAGTGCACATGCACGTCAAATCACTGTGCTTCACCCGTTAGATGGTCTCTATGGGAAAGCATTGGATTGGCTGAAATCATCGATACTAAAGCATTCTGGAAGTTGACTCTAGCAACAGCCCGGGTAATCAGCACATAGAAGTATTTTTAAAATAGAGGAGGTGGGTCAGAGTAGGCAGGGAGCATTCTCCCTCCACCTCCCCCCAAAAAAACTACATACATGTGAGCGTGCACAAACACAGCTAATTAGAGGCCAAAAGCTATAAAATGCATAAAAGTTGTTTTGATGCATAGACTGCCATTTACAGTGTCCGATACGGAGGGAGGTTTGAGTTTATAGACTGGTACATCAAACTTATTTTATTATAAGTTAATAATCTGCAATCTCTGCAGAGAATCTTTATTTTCTCTATAAATGATTGTTTTAGCCTTATACTTATTAAAACTATATCCTTGGAATTGTTTATTTATGACTCAGTGCACTACTCACTAAGTCCTGGGTAACCCAGATAATTTGCTACTTAAAAGAGAAGTGGTGCTATCACTATTCTTCGGTTCCTCCAAGAGGTCTTAAGTTACAAGGGTCAGCAAGAACTCGGATGGAATGAGTTCTAAGAGTGCAACTCAGGGTAAATGCAAAGCAACAGTTTGTTGTTGTTTTTTATGCATCAACAAAACTTTCAATGAATAACGCATTTCATTTTGACAGAGCCCATTGTAATAATCATCTCCAAACGTTTGTGATTTGTTTCTAACTCAAGTTTAAAGATTAGCGTAAGGTATCAATTCAGATAAATGTTAACCTTTGCTATATTTTATTCTATTGTTTTTTTTTTATGGTGGATACAGATTTCCTGCTACTTTCTCCACTTCAAATGGACAGTCCACAGCTTAACTACAAAAATCAGTATTTACTAGATATACCCCTAGTGAAAACATGGATACATTTAAATGGACACAGTAGTCACAAAAACAACTTTAGCTTCATGAAGCAGTTTTTGTGTATAGGTCATGCATCTGAAGGATCACTTCTTAATTGTCTGCCATTTAGGAGTTAAAGCACTTTTCTTTCAGTTTATGCAGACCTTGCCACACCTCCCCTGGCTGTGACTGACACAGCCAGCATGAAAATAAAATGTTTTCATTTTCATTCAAATGTTAACTTACTTTAAACGTTTTTATTTCCTGCTCTGTAAATTAAACTTCATTCACACAGAGGAGACTCCTGCAAGTTATAGCAAAGTATTAACAATGCTGGTTATAAGAAATTCTAAATTAAGCTGAATTAAAAAAGAAGCATAAAGATTAGATAACTCTTTAGAGGAAGTGTTTAAGAACAAAGTGATTTTACTCTTAAATGGCAGAGAATTGAGCAGTGAGACTGAAGGGGCGTGATCTGTACACCAACACTGCTTTATTAAGCTAAAGTGGTTTTGGTGACTTTAGTGTCCCTTTAATTATGCATTTTTTTTTTTTCATTGGAGGTATATTTAAATACAGTTTGCAAGTTGCATTTCCCTTCTCTGACGCCTTTCCAAGCCCACCCCTTCTAACCAAGTCCAGACTTTATGCGGCTGTGCAATCAGACTTCCCAGCTCAATGAGAGGTTTTGGCAAGCCAGGTGTTTTGAACGAACAATTGTCTGCTTCTTGAGTTTAGCTCCACTGAGCTACCCAAACCAGTAAGTAACAGGACCAGTTGACTGATTGACAGCCAGGGGGTGTAACCAGGTTATTTTATAAAAGTGTCAATTGGTCTTGTTACTTCGTGTTTGGTTAGCTCAGTGTAACTAAACTCAAGAGGAAGCCATTACCTATCCACTCACATATGCAATAAGTCCATCAGTGGTTTCCAAACAACAATCTTCCTCACTATTGTAGGCTCACAGAAAATTATAGGAATTGCAAGCTATTAGTGCTGATGGTCATCTTTTTGTGTTCTCATTGAGTAGAACCTTGCAAACTTAAATGAACATTCTTTGAGCATAAGTTGTTATGTTCCTTCTTGTAACCCTTTCAGATACCAAATCAACACAAAAGACATTTAGAGGTCCAGAATCAATATTTGTTTTACATTTAAAAAAAAATGATTCTAGCTTTCTTGCTTTCTTTTCTACATAAAAGAAACCATGGAAAATCAGGCGTCTAGAGGTACCTGCAAAATATTTTGTGGCTCTTGTAATGTTTCACAGCCTGGCCACAAAATTCACAGAGTTGAAGCAATGGCGGTTTTCCATTGGCTGCTTCTATGTGTTTCACTCGGACATGCTGGGTGAGGTCATCTGCAAATGAGGGGAAAAAAAATGTGAAAATCTCACACACCGGTGTAGTTTAAAGACAATAAAACCCACACAACAATGGAACGAATTTAGAAAGTAGCCATTTCAGTACCGTTGCAGAAATCATTCTGTTTGGTCATTTAACTTTGTTGTAGACTACATGTCTGTACTTCTAGGGATGCTCAATATACCTTCATTTAGAATATGGGAAGGGGTTGTAACATAACTACCACGGGAGTGCAATATGAGCAGAAACGGAAAATAATTTTCATAAAATAAAAAATAAATAAACGTCTTTCCTCTAACACAGAGAATTTCACAGATAAGCAAGGTTTCTTACTATGGCTAACAAGATTTTCCTCTAAAGCGCGTTAAAAGACTGGCATTCACCAGCAGAGAATATCCCATGCAATTGATAATCGGGGAGGGGAAAGTGCTTTCTTTGTCTTCGTGACTAAATGATGTCTGTAGCAAAACCTCTTTTTAGTTCTAATTAAAATTCACCCTTTCACCTACCAAATGTTCTTCTAAGACATCTGCAGTACTCAGATGAACTCTGACACTAAACATCTTGACAGCCTGTAATTGCCTTTTTTTGCAATGCAAAATGATTATTAACTTCTCAGTTCATTACCAAAGCAAATTTAATTCTTAAATATAGCAAAAAGCAGACTGCTTAGAACAATGAATTATTGTTTAAATAGGCAAGGAAAAAATAGATTACATTGTGACAGATGTGGGAAAATAAATAGTCTTTAACCTGGGCAATATTTGACTGTGTCTAATTGCCCTTTGCCATGTAAAGTCGAGCTGCTTTTTTTTTTTTTTTTTTTTTCAGAGTAATGAAACAGGCTTTTTTGTGTGTTTGTGTGAAACCATTAGAATTCTGCATCCTGGGAATTTTTAAACAGAGAACGAGTGCTGAGACGTTAAATCAAAATAGGAGTGAATTTATCACAAATGTTCATTCATTTAACTTCAAGTCATGTCTAGGAAAGGAGAGTTTAAAAGCTTGACCGATAACTACTATATACTGTGATGCTGGAGATTGAGCAGTGTAAAACTGATAACAATAGTGCATGAATCATTGTCAGCCTGCCATAAGGGGTTGATACCAAGAACAATGGAGCATTAACAAAGGAACTGAAAATTTTAAACAAACATAGATGGACTGTTAAATGACAACATTTTGGCTTAAAGAGACACTGATCATTTTGGCTTAAAGGGATACTGCACGACTTTTAATTATACATATTTCATTTGGGTTGTATCTAAAGACAGCTTGCAAAAGCTGCAGATCTGCAGTGTGCAGCCTTTGAAAGCTCTCCCCTTCTAACTCCGCCCAGACTTTCTGTGGCTGTCCAATCACAGACGTCCCAATGCTTCTCAATGAGAAGTCTTTGCAAGGCAGGTGCTCTGTGCAATTGCCTTCCTTTTGAATTTAGCTCTAATGAAGTAACAGGACCGGTTACCGGATTGACAGGCAGGGGTGTAACCAGGTTCATTTATAAAAGTGGCAATTTCTATTGAATTCTGCACTTTTTGTAAAATGAAAACAAGAACACGCATACTTGAGATGTGTTATTCAATTTTACATTCTCCATGAATCCTGGTTTACTGAATATACCTCTAAATGTGATGTCGGACATTAATATAAGAGCTATGTGTCCTTTGTCTGTTTTGCTTTTCCAATATTGAGGAAGAGTCAAATTTGAAGGATTACTTGAAGTACTCAAACTACTGCAGCTTCATAGGGGACAAAACTTCTGTTTTCATACGGTCGATTCTCAAGGCTCATTAACTTCTGAGATAATAGCCTTTGATGCAGAGCATATAGCTCCACCTCCCAACTGTCAATAAGACAGTAGTCTTCTTGTTAGGAAGGTCAGTTTTTCAAAGTTGTGTAGAGTTCACAGGACACATGTACAACAGGGACAGATGATCAGTGTACATAGCACTGTTCACTAAATAGTGAACTGGATAGCAGTTCACAGAGACGTTCTTGTCATTCTCAGCGATAAGTGGAACCTTTCTACTGCCTATCCAATAACGCTGATGGACATAGGTTTATGAAATAAGAACAGACTCCGTCGAACCAACATGAGGCTTCTGAGATGTTCTTCAGGCAGGGAACTTGGGAACTTTCAAGTGTCATACACCGTGAGTGATTAATTGATGCACTATAGAAATATTGTTACTAAATGTGATGGGTGTAATGAATACATGAAATAGTTACCTAATAGGAGTGGTATGACTCATTACACCACTGGAATGGTAAATTTGCCTGCTACAGTAAAATGTACAATTTTCCTGGTCATAGGAAATGGGTTGATGGAGTTCCCTCCTGCATTTTTCTGGCCAGGTGTGAGACCTTGCACCCAAGGTAGGTGCACACCTTTTGTAGCTCTCCTCGGCAAACCATGGGCCCTTTTGACATGAGCACTAACAATTACAGTCAGGAGACAATTCCTCTGCTAAGAGTCATATCCAAATAAAATTAATATTAATGCAGAGATAAATAATCATGCCTCCTGTTATACATATTCTGAATGCTGAGGGTATTCCCTAGACACAAAATCAAAACAGGACCAGCGTATCTTAAAGGAACACTCCACGCACCTAACACACTTTAGTTTGCTGAAGTTCTTTATGTGTGAATAATGTGTCCTCTTTTTGATTGCATACCTATTTTTCTAAATTGTATTTTGTGAGGCTTTAAATCTCACTTTGGTGGGGTTACCCAAGGCAGTGCCAGTTTTGATACTAGAGAGAAGCATGGGTGGTATTTTCTATCATTATTTTGGATCTAGTGTCAACAAATATTGATTTTTAAACCTTTCACCCACTGAAGCAAGTCGCAGGTACGCTAGTAGTAGAGTAGTGATGACTGTGACAGTATCTATTTTAATCTTTTCATTATCATAGTAATACATTAAAAATAAGGTAATTGTTTCCCTTTAATGGCTTTTTATTCTGCTTGTGCTTTATTATTATTATTATGATATTTATATAGCGCCATCAAATTCCGCAGCACTTTACAATGGGTGGACGAACAGACATGTAGTTGTAACCAGACAAGTTGGACACACAGGAACAGAGGGCCCTGCTCAATGAGCTTACATGCTAGAGGGAGTGGGGTAAAATGACACAAAAAGGTAAGGATAGTATTAGACTAGTGACAGCTGCAGAAGAGGAATCAGTCAGGAGCTATTAACAGTTTAATTGATACGCTTTTATGAAGAAGTGGGTTTTTAATGATTTTTTGAAGGAGTGGAGTTCCACAGGAACGGTGCAGCCCTCGAGAAATCTTGAAGGCGAGCGTGGGAGTACGGACAGAAGATAGACGTAAGACTCCAGCAGATCGTAAGGGCCTTGAAGGGACATACTTGTGTATAAGGGAGGATAGATAGGTGGGAGCAGCATTATGTAGAGATCTGAAAGCACGAAGCAGAATTTTAAATTGAGCTCTCTATTTTATAGGAAGCCAATGGAGCAACTGACGGAAGGGTGAGGCATGGGAGGTACGGGCGGACAGGAAGATGAGCCTCGCCGCCGCATTCATAATGGACTGTAATGGTGCAAGTTGGGAGCACGTAAGACAACTGAGAAGCGGATTACAGTAGTGAAGGCGAGAAAGGACAGTGGAATGGACCAACACCTTAGTCGCATCTGGCGTTAAGTAGGGGCGGATGCACGCAATGTTTTTGAGATGGAAATGACAGGATTTGGCGATAGATTTAACATGAGACTTGAAGGAGAGGTCGGAGTCAAAGAGAACACCTAGGCAGCGAGCCTGCGTGGTGGAGCTGATGGTAGCACCGTTGACTTGGATGGAGGGAGACACAGGAGTAACAACACTTGAGGGAGGAAGGACCAGAATTTCAGTTTTGGTCAAGTTTAGTTTAAGGAAGTGGGCAGCTATCCAGTTAGAAATAGCAGAGAGGCAGTTGGATACACTAGTTAAGAGGGACGGGGAGAGATCAGGAGAGGACAGGTAGATTTGCGTGTCATCTGCATAGAAATGATATTGGAAGCCAAAGGAACTAATACGTTTACCAAGGGAGGCAGTGTAGATGGAGAACAGTAGGGGACCAAGTACTGAACCTTGGGGGACACCAACAGAGAGGAGTTGGGTAGAAGAAGCAGAGCCAGAGAAATAAACACTGAAAGAGCGCTGGGAGAGGTAGGAGGTCTTGTAGACCGATATTGCGGAGGATGAGAAGAAGCTGTTGGTGATCAACAGTGTCAAAAGCCGCAGACAGGTCAAGGAGAATTAGGATAGAGTAGTGACCACAAGATTTTGCAGCAAGAAGATCATTGGATACTTTGGTCAGTGCCGTTTCCACAGAGTGCTTAGCGCGGAAACCAGACGGAAGCGGGTCTGGCAGAAAGTTGGACTCGAGGAAGTCTGTCAATCTCGCATACACAATTCTTTCAAGGATCTTGGATGCAAAAGGCAGTAGCGAGATAGGACGATAGTTGGATGGGGAGTTAGGGTCAAGATTGGGCTTCTTTAGAATTGGGGTTACAGTTGCATGTTTGAAGGGCGATGGAAATATGCCAGAGGGGAGAGAGAGATTGAGAATTTTAGTGAGAGGTGGAGAAAGAGAAGAAGACAGAGTACGGATGAGCTTTCACAAGAGCAAATTCCTGCACCAAATGGACATTTACAAAATCATATTACTCATTGTTCAACACTTTTAAAAACAACGGCAATAGTAGCTGCACCAACTATCCACTGCAAAGTATATACAGAAAATAGGTGATAGACCAGATAAAGCCAATATACATATCATAATAGAGTAACATCACTAGTATTCATTCCTAATCGTGACTGTAGCTCATAAAATGCAAGTAGAGAGGAGATTATAGCGCAAATCTCAGAAACAAAGAAAACCATATGTATAAACGGTATATCTTCTCTTAAATTCCTACCTTTTCCTGGGAGGTGCACATTAGGAATGCTCCAGTCACCACTCTGCACCATCATTCCTGGCTACTTCAACGTATATATAATGTTCAATGTAATGATTTTTATGCTTAAACGGCTACACAAACAAAGCTCAGAATATATATAGATGTATAGAAAGATGAGAGAGAGACATTCTGAGCTTTCTTTGTGTAGTCATTTAAAGGAAACCTAGTGTAACTTAATGCTTTTTCCCCGTACATAGTGTGAAAATGAGCTTCAGAAGTACCGATTTTAATATTTACTTTCATCAGATTCTCTGCCCCTCCTCTGATTTAATGTCATATCTCCCTGCTTCCTGTATTTCAGCCATACTGTGCATCAATGGCAGGGATGGGGGTTAACAGTGGGTAGGCAAGTTGGCTGACTGGGACTCGCAGGGGAGGCGGTTAACAATGTGTAGGGAGGTTGGCTCACTAGCAGGGAAGGGGTTAACTGTGGGTAGGAAGGTTGGCTGGCAGGGGCTGGAGAAGAATTTATTACTTGCATTATGGGGAGGGAGGGAGAGAAGCACAAATGGGCTCTAGCTGCAGTGCAGTCTGTGAGGTGAGCATTCCTTACACTAGATAAGACATGCCTCTATTTTCATTGGCTGCAAAATGTACGTTTCTTTCAGAGACTGAGAATCAGGGGCATGCGGAAATTTGAGAGAGGGGTGGCTAATGAGACAAAGTTACACTGCTGAAAACAGTAAAACATTTTACAGCAGTCCAGGAAAACTATACAGCTCTGAAAGAAAATAAACCAACCACATGTTTTTTGAGCTTATTAGCTTTCATTTAAGCTTAACTTGTTTAGCTGCATGGAGTGTCCCTTCAAACACAAAGGATAAAAATCATTACTTTTGGCAGTGCGAGAATAACAACAAATAAACACTGTAAAACCCAATAGAAACAGGTTTATCACTCCTGAGGAAGAGGTGAGTATAACCTCAAGAAATTATTAAATGTGGAACTTCCTAAGGTTGACTGAGTCAAGGATTGTGTCCATATATTTGCTTATTACCCAATAATAAAGGTGGATTCCTGTGTCGCCAAGCAAGGTGCACATATTAGTGTGCACAGACAAGGCTATTTTCACACATTACCATAGTCTATCTATTTGAAGTTCAAATTACACTCCTTTGCACTAGTATCTCTTTTTAATGAGTACACTTTCTCCATCACTTTCATTTAAAGGGACACTATAGAACTACAGCTTATTGAATTTGTTCTGGTGAGTAGAATCATTACCTTCAGGCTTTTTCCTGTAAACACTGTCTTTTCAGAGAAAATGCAGTGTTTACATTACAGCCTAGTGATAACTTCACTGGCCACTCCTCGGATACCTGTTAGAGATCCTTCCTGGGTCATGGCTGCCTAAAATGCATCTAAACATTCAGTGTCTCCTCCCTCTGCATGCAGAGACTGAACTTTCCTCATAGAGATTCATTGATTCAATTCATCTCTATGAGGAGACGCTGATTGGCCAGAGCTGTGTTTGAATCATGCTGGCTCTGCCCCTGATCTGCCCCTTTGTCAGTCTCAGCCAATCCTATGGGGAAACACTGTGATTGGATCAGGCTACCACTTCTGATGATGTCAGCAGACTGCTTGTTATTCTGAGTCAGACAGTATGCAGAGTTACAGCTTCAGGCTTGAATATAGTAAGATTTTGCTATATTTATGGAGGCATGAGGGGTCCAGGGGGGCTAGGTGGTGGTTTTAACACTATAGGGTCAGAAATACATGTTTGTGTCCCCGGCCCTAGTGATCCTTTAATCCCTTTCTGTATTGAAAGGATTCTATCATCCTCTATCTGCCTTTTCTCTTTCAAGTTGTAAATTGATTGCATTATATGTTAAGCTACAGTTTGGAAGCTGTACAGAATGTGACACCCAGACACATGGAACTTATATTTGAAGTATTTTGTCCAAATGATTTCTCCCTACACAGGCAGCAATCCCTCTATATTTCTAGGGTGAGCTGAAGCAACTATAATAGAAATTTGCCTCTCTGAAATCTTTTCTATAATTCTGCAATACATTTTATACACACACACACACACACACATGTGCGCAGCTGTTGGATTTAAAGTTTGACTGTGCAAAGAAAAATTACATTATGGTAAATACCATTTTGATTAGAGTTCGGTTATCTGCTTGTACCACTTAAATGATGAAATGCATTCTGCGTTATTTTCCCACGTGGGATGATCCTGCTGGTTTCCCATTTTCAGTTGGGGATAACAATGCAAAAACTCCAACCAGGTTATAAAAATATTATCAGGGTGAAAACAGGGATGTGAATTTGTAGGAACCGGATTCAAAGGCAAGTTATTAAATGTCACATTTTGTCAGGAAAGTGGCAATATCTCATGAATTATAAATAAATGTGTAAAGCAAAGATTTGAAATATATGGCTGCGTGCCAAAAATAGGCATCAGTTACAGAAAAATAACAAATTAAATAATTGTGCAAATTAAAATACTGTGGTGCATCAAACATTACACACATAACACATATGACATGACTCCACCCAGTCTGACTTTTTTGGTCTGGTTAATGTTAAGTTATGGCCATATGGGCATTTGTGAACAGTTTTGTATGGTTCAAGTTCCTGATTAATAATTTCACAGTTGCTATATGCCATCTTATTAAGAAAAACAAACACAAAAACAACAAGCCTGTGTGTGGGGAAACCGGCCTCGCCACGTGTCCTTGGAGGGGGCTGCTTGCCCGCCTCTTGCCTTTGGACTATGGACCGGACTTTATGTGAATGTGTTAACCCAGATAGCTATGCCATGGAGCCCATTCGTGTAGTTAAAGACTTCGGCTCCATGGCAATTGAACTGTGTGAATAGGATCTGAGCGCTATTCGGTAGTTTTGTGCGCTCAGATCCCAGCTATCTGGGGATATGTGAAATGTCTGTGTGTTATGTGTAAAAGGTGACTTTATGTATTTTAAAGTGTTTTATGTCTTTTTGCAACCATGTGCTCAATGGAGTCTGCCTCTATCCCTGGATAATTGGATTACTTTCCCCATTGTCTCCAGGATAGAGGGCTCTGTAAAACCTGTTTGAGCCAGATAGCCATGTGCCAGCCAGGGCCCAAAAGATACTTTTACTAACTTTTGAACCCCTGGTCGGATTCATGCCATTTTTTTATATGTTGTTCCCCTGAATGGATTGATTGTGAATATGTAATTTTATGTGAATGTGATGTATGGTTTTAAAGTTATGAAAGTTGGGTAGAAAGTATGTTTTAACTGTATGTGTAATTGAGTTTCCTCTCAGGATAAGGGGAGGGAATATGTGGGATGTAACTGATATGTGATTGGTTGTTTTATACCTCCCTGTGGGCAGTCCTGTATGTGAAAGGCTGTAATAAAAACCAGGCTGGGTGTGCCAGCACAAGTGTCGTCTCATTATTGGGGGAAGGATTTATTGTATGCTGTTCTAGTTTGACTGCTAGGAGAGTAAACCAATTCGTATGGTTCCTATTCAACTGTCTACAGCATTCATATGCTTGAGAGGATTCATATGCTGGTGGTTGTGGTGTCTGCTGCAGTGCTTGGAGTCCTCAGGAAGCGCTAGGAGCATCCTTTAACGGAGGTACCCAGTCGGGGTGCCAGGTGATCCGTTACACTGTGTATGTAAAAATACACAAAACCAAGCTTGCCTTTAAGTTGCTTTGTCACCTCAAATTTACCTTTTTCCTGTTGTTGGCAAAAGGCAAAGCTTGCATTAAAGTGGTACGGTCATGCCCCACTCTCCATCCACTGAAAAATGAGTATTTCATAAAAGTAGAATCTTTATAAAACACTTATATGGACTGTTTGAATTTAACTGAAATACCAACCCAGTCAAGAGATATAAAGAGACAAAGTATGGACTACCATGTCTGTATTTCTCCTCCACCTGACTTTCTTAGACTCAGGGCGGATATCAAGTGACAATAGAAACATAGAAACATAGAATGTGACGGCAGATAAGAACCATTCGGCCCATCTAGTCTGCCCAATTTTCTAAATACTTTCATTAGTCCCTAGCCTTATCTTATAGTTAGGATAGCCTTATGCCTATCCCACGCATGCTTAAACTCCTTTACTGTGTTAACCTCTACCACTTCAGCTGGAAGGCTATTCCATGCATCCACTACCCTCTCAGTAAAGTAATACTTCCTGATATTATTTTTAAACCTTTGTCCCTCTAATTTAAGACTATGTCCTCTTGTTGTGGTAGTTTTTCTTCTTTTAAATATAGTCTCCTCCTTTACTGTGTTGATTCCCTTTATATATTTAAATGTTTCTATCATATCCCCCCTGTCTCGTCTTTCCTCCAAGCTATACATGTTAAGATCCTTTAACCTTTCCTGGTAAGTTTTATCCCGCAATCCATGAACCAGTTTAGTAGCCCTTCTCTGAACCCTCTCTAAGGTATCAATATCCTTCTGAAGATACGGTCTCCAGTACTGTGTACAATACTTCAAGTGAGGTCTCACCAGTGTTCTGTACAATGGCATGAGCACTTCCCTCTTTCTACTGCTAATACCTCTCCCTATACAACCAAGCATTCTGCTAGCATTTCCTGCTGCTCTATTACATTGTCTGCCTTTAAGTCATCAGAAATAATCACCCCTAAATCCCTTTCCTCATATGTTGAGGTTAGGACTCTATCAAATATTCTGTACTCTGCCCTTGGGTTTTTACGTCCAAGATGCATTATCTTGCACTTATCCACATTAAATGTCAGTTGCCACAATTCTGACCATTTTTCTAGTTTACCTAAATCATTTGTCATTTGGCTTATCCCTCCTGGAACATCAACCCTGTTACATATCTTAGTATCATCAGCAAAAAGACATACCTTACCATCAAGACCTTCTGCAATATCACTAATAAAAATATTAAAGAGAATGGGTCCAAGTACAGATCCCTGAGGTACCCCACTGGTGACAAGTCCAAGCTTCGAATATATTCCATTAACTACAACCCTCTGTTGCCTGTCACTCAGCCACTGCCTTACCCATTCAACAATAT